ATTCACATTTTATACAGTTTATGTATACCGATCATCTAACTTTCCACCAGAGAAATGAGAATATTCTCTCCGATTTCATGTAAACAGCACAATCGGCTCTAAAAGCTAATGACAGAACAGCACAAAATATAATCACACTTCTGTAGATAAAACATGACATGAAATATTTACAGAATAGGTATGATGCAGGATAGCAGAGCACTGGCTTTGCCATGAAACATTCTCTGTGATTCTCACTTCCCTCAATAATAAATTCATGAGGCAGCCCTGACTGTAACCCTCTCCGGTACCTACGCTGCTGTCCATTGTAGGTAACCCTGGCTGTGCTGAAGAGATTGTGTTTGTGTGTGCTTTGTATTCATGTGCTGTCTCTGCGTGGGTATATGATCTGGTTGTGTGAACAGAATTTTATAGTCTGTGTGTAGGTGTGTATACCACATATGTATTTCCAAATATACAGTACAGAGTATATATATACTCATGTATAGGTGTCATGTGTGATATTGATTTTTATTATGTGTCTGTGAGATTTAGGGAAGTACAAGAACACATGGGTTGTCAGGCTTTACTGAAGCCCCATATAATTGGGTCCACCAGATGCTGCTTAGAGGCCGTACACAGGACGCATCTTTGTGTTCAAAAACAGCTTCAAAAAAAGACAAAATGGAACAGAATGCAAGTGGTCTCAAGACACGTTTTTGAGTTGAACTATTTTTAACTTGACACACCGTCTTGAAAACACAATGATCATGGCACACAATGCTGAAAAACACAGCAAAGCCTCGAAACAATGGCCATGGATGCCCAGTCTTTTCATTTAAAAAACAGCACAGACTAAAAGGGGAACATACAGCCCTTCAAAATAACATATTTAAGTTATAGTGTTAATTTTGTTTACATATAAAAGAAAATCTCTCTCAGCCAATGCTGTAAACTACAGAAGAATATGGTACATTTAAAAATATCATTTAAAAATTTAACAGCAGGGCCTAAACTATGCAGTTCAGTTGCTATTACACTAGATATCAACCAACACAACCAAAAACTGGTCTGAAGATATATACTTAAGTAAATGCTTGCTTGTCTATTTCTTGTCTAAAACTGTGAAAAAAATGTGTAAAATCATTATAAATTTATAAATTATGAACACTTCAGTTACAAACCCACGAGTATAGAAGCACTCTGAATAAAACATGTCTAAATCAAAACATTTCAAATAAAAATTCACATGAAAGAGTAAGCAAAGGTTCTTATAAAGGAGTAACAGTAATGCTCTCTAATAGAAAAATGTGTCTCCGTTTTAAGATTTTGAAGATGTAACTTTTCAGTGCAGCATGCTAAATCTCTCCCTGCAGAGTTGCATTTTATAATTCAACCCATTTAAGTCATGTCTGTATGTCCATAAACAGGTGCAGCAGTAAGTCGTTTATATAGAGGGAGTTATGTGCGTGTGTGCATGTCTGTAATATTGCATGTTTTCTTTGAGGTTGTGCCTCTGCAGTTTGTTACAGAGCACAGATGAGATATGAGATGTTTAATAGAGATCGGTTTAAGGTTCTGTTAATGTGTCTGTTCGTAGGGAAATTAAATTAGCTAAATAATTGCCTTTGCCAAAAAAAGGCCCTTAGAGATTGTCAAAACAACTCGCAGCCTCCTTTCTTTAAAGCAGGATGATTTTATTCTTTGTATTGTCATAGACTACAAAGACTAATAATGAAATTATGCGCTTAAATTAATAATTAATGAACTCACTAAGGGGTTTGTCTTTTAATTTTCTTAAAATATTAAGAATATGACTCAGTTCCACAACAATCGGCGTAACCCGAGTGTACGTAGGTGTGTGCGCTGGTGCTTTTTTCTTTGCAAACAGCCTGGTTTTGGTCCCCCACTGAGATCTCCACTGTCGCACCGCTGTGTGATGGAGAAGGGGTGTGTGTGTGTTATACTGGTGGGAGAAATCCCTTTGACTGAAGCAGTGGCCTTGGTCGGCCTCACCTTATCCTCAGGCAAGAACTCTAAAGGAGGCAAGAACAACTGCTAGCAACGTTATGGAAATGCCATCAGGCAAAGGGGCATTACAAAACAGATTGTTTTATGAACCCATTATTGTATGCTGAAACACACAATCATGCAAACGCACACATCCACCCACACACACATATACACACAATGAAAATGGCAATACGGGGCATGCCAACATGGGGTCAAATGCTCTGGGCCACAAAGGGAGTAGAACGAGGAACACAGCTGAGATGGTGGAGATAGAGAAAGACAAATGGAGAGGTTAGGCAGAGAGAGTTCTCAGTGTCTTTCTTTTCTCGGTGTGTTCTCTGAATGTATCATTATCCAGAGCTGAAGTTCTGCATGACAGCGCTTTGGAAACACACTTCATTTACACTAACCTTTCCATTTCCCACACACACACTTTCTCGCTTTTTTTGGCGCAGCACATGTCCAGAATTTTCACAACCACATAAATACACTACTGTACAAAAGTTTGGGATTGGTAAGATGTTTCTACTATTTTTGAAAGAAGTCTCTTATGCTCACCAAGGATGCATTTATTTAATCAAAACACAGTAAAAACAATAATACTGTGAATATTAGGGCTGGCGAAATTTTTTTTTATTTAAAATATTCGTCGAATTTAAAATAAAAATCCACATTCGAATGCAAAAACTTTGCATCCGAATTTTAGGTGTGCGTTAAGGAGGCAGCCTTATCAGTGGCGCAAGAGACGCTATGACGATGTAAGTGTCGTTGCATTATAATGTTTTTGTTAGCCTATCAAGTTGAAGCCACTAGATGCGGCGCTGCTGCGTTGTTCATTAAAAAAATTGCGGAAAAAGAGAACATCAATGCGGAGAAGATCTTGTTTACATCAAAAATGAAACCAAGCCGTTCACACAGAACACATATTTCATGCATTTTCTAGAGGGACATCTATTACCGTTGCACTCGCATCTCGCACAAAGGAGCCGCATGTTTAGAAAGCTATGTCAAATTAATGCAAGTTTAACTTTGAAAAAAACATATCGAGACTTTATGGCGGGTTTTTTCCCCATCGCACTGCATCTCATGTTTTTAAATGAGAAATGTACTCTGTGTGATTGGCTTTCTGCCCTTTGTATTAAACTATGCATACATACATGATGCTGTTTTGTTTATAGTTGTTTAAGCAACTTAATTAACTATAATTGGCTTATAAACATTATTTTAAACATTATGAACTTTTTTCCACAGATAGTCATGTTATCTTATGCTTTGAATAAACGTGCATTAGTAATATTTTGCTCAATGCGCCCTCTTGTGGCCTCAGAAGACAAGCCAAAAGCTTTTCTTCACCCTAACTGAAATGATGCATTTTAAATTCGAATATAATTCGAATGTTGATAATATTTAAATACAAAATTCGAATTTAGTTTTTCAGCCATTTTGGCAGCCCTAGTGAATATTATTAGAATTTAAATGAACTGTTTTCTATTTGAATATATTTTAAAATGTAATTTATTCCTGTGATGGTAAAGCTGAATTTTCAGCATCCATTACTCGTCTTCAAGGTCACATGATCCTTCAGAAATCACTGCTGATTTGCTGCTTGAAACATTTCTTATTATCTAGGTTAAAAACAGTTGTGCTGCTGCTAAATATTTTTGTGGAAATTATGATACATTTTTAGGATTCCAAAAAGAAGTCCAAAATAACTTTACTATCAATTCAATCAATTTAATGCATCCTTGCTGGGAAAAAAAATACTGACCCCAAACTTTTGAACAATGTATAGTATAGAGTAGTGTATACATAAATAGTATTGTCTCAGTCTCACATCAACTAAAATCTGCAAACAAAAGGCTTAAATATGAATTCAAACCAAATGATTTCAATATCAAATTAATAGGGATATGCCATAGACACTTACTGTGTAGGAGACATGTCAAAAATAGTCTCATTATAGCTTCTTTTAGCAAACAATTACAAAAAAACAAACATCTGAGAATGTTGTGACCGTAAACAGAATTAATGGATTAACAGCAAAAATGACTGGTTTAAACAGATTTTCTCACACTATTAGTTGACCCAATGTTGCTGTTTTGTGCTTGTCAGGATGCTGTAAGCTATGAAAGAGCAGCACCTGTGTCCTAAAACACTTTCTAGGATCATACTATTTATATTTAAAGAAACTTTGAAACATCACTGTCAGGCTTTGAATAGTGCTGTATCGCTGCTTCTCAGTTTTCCGGGGTTTTAATGAACGACAGAGGGATTGGTAATCCTCCGTAATCCAAAGAGAAAGAGAAGGAGGCATGCCGTTTGAAGCGAGGGCTGCGAGAAGTTCTCTTTTTGCCCCCTGCGGTATCTGGCGTGCTTTAGCTTGTGTTTGTTTGGCACAGGGCGTAGCACTCTTTCACATTTGTGATTCACTTTGTGTGTACACTGTGGACTTAGCGCTGTCTGTTTCCATTAATGAGGATAAGTGCAGCGCTGTTCTCGAGTTCCACTGCATTTGTGTGGCGAGATCTTTAAAGAACGAAAATGAAAAGGTGGGGGGGCAGTACCACACAGGCCTTTAGCTGCAGAGTTTCTGTTTAAGTCAAATAGCAGATGATGGCTGCCTCGCCTTCAGAGGAGCAGCAGATGGTTAGAAGAGGTTAAATCAAAATAATTCCACCAAAGACTCTGTCAGAGGTTTCCAGCGGAAGCTTTCGCTTAATGTGTGCTAGCCAAACACGAACTCAAACTAGTCACTGCTAGTCAGGCTAATGCTACATATATCGTTAAGTGTTAATGTTGTCTATCTCATAATGTATGTATAGCTCTTGTGATGAATGGATTTAAGTGGTTTTAAAGACTTATATATAAGTAAATATAAGCGATACACTTTGAAAGGAAGGGGAGTTCAAAGAAATGCTTTCACAGTTTTATGTCTTTCTGCACATTGAATGATTTAAACTAAAATATATGTCTTTTCTCTTCCTTCCCTGTTTTTCTTGTAACTACAGGGCAGAGTCTTGGCTATGGTTTCGTCAACTACATTGACCCAAAAGATGCAGAGAAAGCCATCAACACGTTAAATGGACTCAGACTTCAGACCAAAACTATTAAGGTAAGTAACCACACTAGCAGAACAAATAAAGAACAAACAAACCTGAATTGCATTAAACAGCTTTGCCATCACATTTTAAATTATATTAAAACAGACGTAAATTGTGAAGATATTTCACAATATTAGTTTCATTGTATTTTTAATCAAATAAAATGATTGATGCAAAAAATCTGTGTATATATAGTATATATATGTCAATCACAGAAATAAATTGCTGAATTTTAAAATGTTAAATAGAATTACATTTAAAAGTGTGATGTTTTACAGTTATTACTGTATTTCTGTTAAATTTTTGTTTAAAAAAAAACAAAATTTATTGACCCCATACTTTTGAATGATAGGGAGTGTGTGTGTGTGTGTGTGTATACATATATTATAATATAGTAATAGTACTATAATACACCATAATAATAATAGTAGTAGTAGTAATATTTAATCATTTAAAAAATATTTGTAATTATTTGTGTGTATACACATTGCTGATGTACAGCATAACATTTTAATTAAGTGAATTTATTAAATGATATGCCAATAAATTAATTGAATGGAATTAACAGATTCTTTAAATCACGTTATTTTTGTATGATTACTCACAGTAAAATAATGTAAAAAACAAGAACAGCTGTAATGTGGTGTATTTGTATGCATACCTCAATGTGTACGTTGGGATCAGCGTTCGGGTTCATGTTGTTAGGTTACTGCCTGCCTGTTGTTTACCAAACACTTTTCAGCCAAAGCAACCCACATTACGCTAATTGCAGTAGCGGACCCCCCTGGAGCCAGCGCCTCTCGCTCAAGGGCACAGCGTTGAAAAGGTTCTCTCAGTGCCTCTCCAGTTAACAGGTCACCCGCACCTGGAATTGAACCTATTTAAACATAACAGATAACAGACGGTAACAGAGCAACATCTCATTTAGGTGGAAGCGTTCTCCCAGTCGCCATTTCTCACGTCTGCGCTAGTCAATTCGCCGAATGTTTCCTGCCACCGTTTGTGCCAGTGGAGCTGCAGTGATTAGTACATGTGGCTTACACTGGCTCGTGCTAGGCTGAGGCGCGGCAGCACAAAGAGAGAGGAGGGCAAATCTGACTCATTAAGATGCAGAAGGAAACAGGAAAGCAACTGAAGGAAGAAAAGGGAAAAATAGTGTAATTGATATGTAAATGAATCTCCAAATGTCAAATCATGAAGTCACACAAAAAGAGGGAAATGGCATGTATAATGAAATAATGTGGACATGCTAAATAGTGTCTGGGTTTTCACTGTGGAAATTTTGATCTGTTCTATTCTGTCATGTTCTATTATATTTTATTCCATTTAATTCTGTTCAGACACATTGGTATTTTGTCATCTATGATGTTTCAATTTTCTGTTCAATTTTATTTGGATATATTTTATTCTGATCTAATGTCACATTATTCTGATCTCCCATGTTCTGTTCTTTGTCATTCTGATGTTCTATTCGATATTATTTTATTGACATCAAATCACATTTTATTCTCTTTGGTTCTGATGTGTTTTTATATTCCTCTGTATTTGGTTTTGTTATATTTTATTATTGTTCTGTTTTATTTGATTTTATTCCCTTTTGTCATTCTACTTCTTTTCTATTGTTCTCTTCAGTTTTGTTATATCAATGTTCGGTTTTATTCCATCTCTGTTATCATTCTATTTTCTGTTCAGTATTGTGATCTGTCATTTTCTGTTCTATTCAACGTTTTAGCAATGTTCTGTTTTATTTCATCTCTATTGTCATTCTATTCTGTTCAGTATTCTGATCTGTCCTCTTTTATTCTATTCTTGTGTTGTGTTTTGTTTTATTACATTTTATTCTCTATTATCATGCTACTCTGTTCAGTATTCTGATCTGCCATTTTATATTCTATTTTATCCTATTGTCTTATTACATTATTCTCTATTATCATTCTATTCTGCTCTGATCTGTCATTTTTTATTCTACTGTTTTAAGTATTATTATTAGTAAATATTATAATTATTATTCTTTTGTCATTCTACTCTGTTGTCATGTTTTTTGATCTGTCATTTTATATTCTATTCAATTTTGTTATGTTTTATCAATGTTCTGATATTCTATTCGATTCCATTTGAGTCTTTTCTGAGTTATGTTCTATTCTATTATTAAATTAAATCATGCAATGAAATAGACAGATCCGCCACAATCTGATGGCTTCCATTTTCCTCAACAGTGCTTTGTGGTAAATTTAGAAGCAGCAGCTGGTTTTAACAGTAAATTCTGCCTGCCGCTCACGGCATAATCTGGCTGTGTATGTGTTTTCATCTGGCCTATAATCCCAGACCTCTCACTTACATCCGCCCTAATCTAATCAGATTGGATTTCGCCTGCTTATGAAAACACGGCTCAGTCTGCGCGGCTCAGTACCTCTTAACATAACAGCAAAAGAACGCGTGTGTTTGTGTGTGGGAGCAAAAGAATGAAAAAAGAGAGAGAGGAGAAAGAAAAGACTTGTCAGGGATGTTTTTGAAAGAGCACAGCACAAAGCTCACAAACATGGGCGTTTTCCATAGTGGCAGCATGTGTATGTGTTGGCCGGCAGTGTTTCTAGTACTGGTTTCAGCATCAGCTAAGAATCCATCAGAGACAGAATGACTCACTCTGTGTGTATTTGCCGATCATCACAGCTTCCTGCCACACGGCGCTTCTCTCAGTGACAAAACACACTTCCAGGGAGGCAGCGGTACACACACACACACACATAAACACACAGTTAAAAAAACAGCACTTATCGGCCAAACACACCTCAGGATTTTGGTTCCCGTCCCAGGGCTATAACCAAATGACTCTGGAGCTGTTTTTTTTATCCTCACGCCCCTTTTTTACTGCACAATCCTGAAAAAGACACAATGCAGAAAGTAAAATGGCTGCAGTTCAAGTTGTGTGAATCAGTCAAAAACTCCCAAGTTATCAGTTTGAATCATTCTAACAAACCATTTATTCAATCCATCACAGCAGTTACTGAATTAACATCTGACTCACTGAACTGCAAGTCATCACAGCTGTCATTCATCTCTGACTCAAAATAAACCAACATATTATGGGAACCACATAAGGAAATGAGAATTGTGAGACTTACTTACATTTGACATTTCACAACATTTTATATTGATGTTGGGCATCATTTTATTAGAGCATTAAGAATTTTGCATTAATGTAAAAAATACTTTTTATAAATACATTTAAAATAGAATGCATTATTTATAATAATAATTGAATATTCGTATTAGTTTATTATACATTAAATATGATGATCGTTACTATTATTATTAAAGACTGGTAATAAATTTAGTATCATGGTATTATGTTTTGAAATCTGAAACACTGAAGTGAGCATACAGCGGTTTGGCCCGAGGGCACAATTTAGTGTAACACATATTTTCATGCTGTCTGTTGGGGAGTTGTCAAAACCTTGCAGGAATGATGTTGCTGAGCATACTTCTTCTAAACATGTTAAATTTTTCTCTGGCAACATACACACTCCAACAAACACAGACTTTCAAGGAATGAAGCAAGAGTCGTCTTCCATGACTTAGCGTGCCTACATACACAAACAAAACAAATGCTACTGCTACTGTATGGTCAACACGCACATCTCATGCATGATTGATTTTTTTGCTTGCGCACACACAAACATGAATGGAATCGACACAACCAAAAGATGTTCCGGTTTCACACACTGTCTAAACCAAGTGCAAAACGACAAGCAATTTGTCTGTCCACAATGAAAGCAAAATGCTATGTGAAGAAGAATTGTGTACCAATTTCGTACTAGACAGAAACTACCAAGTGTTACCAGTGGTGCCAGAATTAATTTTGAATGACTAGGGGGTTTCAAATTAAGGATGGCTGTAGCTCATGAATATTAATTATGGAATAGTGATGATTCCGCACTGATTTGAATTTGAGGTACAACATCCAGCAGGTTTTACAGTTGCATCTTTGGAGAAATATCACCTATTTAACATCAAGATACTAGAAATACAGATCGAGATACTAAAAATAAATTCATTTGGAAATTTAAAACAGTTATTTGATTAGAAGTTTCTCTCCTGAAATCGCCATAATATGTTTGATATTTGTGCTTTTCGCACAAATTTTTCAAATTTTTCATTTTTTTGCGCTAAACTTCATCCTAAAACCGACCAGAATACACAAACTCAAATGTAAATTTCCTGTAGTAGGTTTGATGTATGAAGATTTAGCACTGCATGTTCTCTGATTTTTCCACCTACTTATTACTGTCAGCGTTCATCTCTGGATAAGCACATTTTGACTATCTGCTCCTGTAATTTACCAAGTCTGAGTATAGACCTGCCTTCTTTTTTTTTACCTCTATGAAACAGAAACTATAGCAATTTGACATCAGAAATGGTGTGCTTTTAATGCAAGTCATACATATTTTTATATCAGCTGACTATGTTTGGTTGAGTGGGCTACAAGTCCTTGGGCCCTGAGCAATGCTACAGAAATAGAAACCAAGCGACCGTGTTTCTTGTGGTTGCAGCTGGACAAAAACTGCGATTTACACGGAAAAGCTTTGATTGCTAATCGCTTCATCACGCCACGCCTGGTCAGGACACGTTGTCACTCCAATCCGTGTCCTTTGTTAATCATCTAGATCTTTTTATCTCCATATTTTCTCTCTCTTCATCCATCCGTCCATCTCAGCGTGGGTCAGAGAAGCCAATGTCTTTATCTCTTATCTCTGTGATCTCTCTTTTACACCTCTCGCGCTCGGCCCTCCCTGCTCGGTCTCCTTTCCCTTGCACTCCATGAAACCTCTTATTCAGACCAGCACCAGCCCTCTCAAAATATGCTCTTCTGCTGTAATATGGCAAGAAAGAGATGAAATCCTCTGTCTTATAACTCCTAATAAGTGTGTTCCAAGGTCATCCTTCTCATAAAGCCTCCATCGTAACCCCACCCCCCATCGAGCCGGGATGAAGACAGACCATCTAATAGCAACAGACAGCTGCGTCGAAGAGTGGATGAGCGAGAGAATGGGGAAAAAAGAAGGAGAGGGTAATTATCCGAAGTGCAGTTCTTTGCTCTTTTCAGCCGAGCAAGAAAAACGGCGTTTATGAGGGCCCTCCTGCTGAAATAAGCTGATGATGTATATGTTTACAAGAGGCTGTTTAGCCAAGAAAAAGGAAGTGAGGAAAAACGTCTGTGGCGGTTTACGATGAGTTTATATTCTTTCGCAAAATGCCATTGTCAAGTTCAGGGACACGCCATCGCTCGAGCACATCAGCTAATGCAGGAAGTCCATGAAAACAGATCAACTCACTGGCTGAAAAATAAAACAAAAGTGAGAGTTTCACTCCAGTCCCAACTTCCACATGCTCATCATTTTGTTACACACACACACACTTCTCCATGACACTTCTCCATTTCTCAGCAAAACTCCGGCTTTGCCTTCCTGTCGAGGTGTGATGCGAGAAATCCCACTGAGGGCGAGAAGAGCGTAGCCTTGTGCTGTGAGATACGTGTATACACACACACACACACACACACACACACTGCTCACAGCAGACAGGGTGTTGATAGATCTGACATCTGGAGCTGCTCGACAGGGCAAGAAAAAAGCAAAAAGAGAAGAGGAGAGGAAAAGAAAAGAAGGGAAGAGAGGATAGGGAAGAGTCTGCCAGGGTTCCATGCCTTTTGCCTTCTCCATTTAAGTGGATTTGAGGAGATTACGGCGGAGTGTTTAGCATGTTTAGCTCAGCATTTGTAGCAGTGTAACAGCCTGTGATGGCTCTGCTGCCCAAATGTCAGAACTAATGAAAATATGAGATGGAAAGGCTGCTTCAACCATTAATGGGAACAGATTAAATTGACATGAGCATTAAAAGGGCAGGGAGATAGAAACATCTCCCCATCTTGAAATAAAACTGAATTGCTGTAGCGGGAGAGAGCGAGACAGACAAAAACGTAGAATCAACAAGGAAATTCAGAAAATGGGTTTGTTCGCTCAAAAAATTAAAAAGCTGTCATAATTCTGTATACTGTACTCACCCACAAATGTCGATTCAAACCCATGTGACTTTTTGTGGAACACAAAAGGGGACATTGTGAGAATAGTTCGGTCTTTTTATCATATGAATTTATCATTCATTATCAAATAGTAGTCTTTTTAGTACATATATGATAAATTCTTCTTCTTTTGAGTAGGATCTTTTAAATTAATCAATTGATCTGGTTAACAAAAACCAAAAAGATCAGGTTCCCAAGTCCAACACTGAGTCAGTTACAGCCGTTAACAGAGTGAAGGGAAAGAATATTGGTGAATAATGACTAAAATTGTGGTATGTTCATCACATGAAACTATTTTATGAAATATTTGTAATAAAAGTAGTCATGTGAAATGAAAATTATATTTGTATGAAAGCAGTCATATGGACTATGGGTTTGGAAAGACATAAGGGTGTTATTCATTTTTGAGTGAACGATCCTTTTGAAAATAATTCTCATTTAAGAAAATCCAGGATGAGCCACAGCACTGAAGTTTCCCACAAGGATTACTTAAAAAAAATACCTAATTATCTCTGTACAACTGTGTAAAATTCAGTGACATTATAGTATTAAATTTGCCAACGACTCTGAAATTTGTTTGAGAACGGTTGCAATGGGTGAAAATTGCATCATGTGTGTAAGAATAGAAAGTGACTGGTATGTGAAGTTGAAAACAAGTACAGTGAATTTTAGAGTGTGACAGACACTGTCCAAGGTGCTGCAGAGTTTGACAAGTCGAGAGAGGTGAGAACGTGCCGGGTGAGCGCTAGATGGAGGGAGTATGGTGGAATGAGCGCTGTCCAAGGTGCTAGTAAGCGCAGCGCGCTGATATTAGAGCGTGTGGGGAATGCGAGAGTGAGAGAGCTATAGATGGCTTGGCTCTCACTCTAGGCACAAACAGAAGGTTCCAAAGTGTTATTCAGCACAGATGACAGCCAGCCTTCTCTCTCTCACACTCACACACAAGCTCTTCCATCATGTGTTTTCTGAAAACAAATTAGCCTTTATTATTTACTGCTGTGGGTTTTAAGTGAGGTTCATGAACCTTATTTTAAAAACAAGTCAATCTGTACAACTGTAGAAAAGAAACTAAAACTGTCCAATTTGTACCATTGACGCTTTGAGTAATTTGTAAAAAAAAAAAAGTAAAAATAATAATACAAACTGCATTAATTAATGTTTATCTCTTTATATTCTAATATTTTTTTTTACATTTCAAGCTAAACATGAATTACAATAATATATAGTAAATATATAGAGTGTGTGTGTGTGTGTGTGCAATGCATACACACAAACACACACTCACTCACAAAAAAGAGTATTGTTCACTTTTGATATATAACAATGTATAAATTTAAATTTTGACATTAATCTAGAATAATAAACGCTTTAAAGATCTGAACTGGGAAAGTATTTAATAGAAAAATATTTGGTAATACAATAATTACAGCACAATACAATACAATAAGGCCCTATACATTAACAATAGGTAATGCTGTAAAAACAAAATCATGATACCAACTGCATTTAATCAGTTAATGTTTTACATTTTGTATAAACTATTAAAAACATATAACACATAAAATTTATATATATATATATATATATATATATATATATATATATATATATATATTTTTTTGTAACAAGAAACAATATGCACACACATTCTATATACACAAAATATTATTAAACGATAATATAAAACAATTATATAAAGTACATTATAAATTATATGACAAAAAATATATACAAAAAAAAACTGTTTTTCTTTATGACTTTTGGAGACTTCTGAGAATAGACCGCAATTATGCCTGTAGTTCAAAGGGTTCATGAACTTCAACCACTGTACTTTGGGTATCCAATTTCTTGGCTATATTGTTTCTCTTCAGAAACTGGGTTAGAGGTGGTGCACGTTAATATTGAATTTACATTTTCATTTCTCCTTTAAGACAATTTGCAAAGCTCTTTAGATGTCATGTGTATATCCCTTATCTGTGAATGAGCAAGGATCACAGAGAATCCCTCGCAGCAAGTTGTTCCTTTTCAAAATATTATAATAAGTCAAAGAGATTCTTCTTTGTTCTTAAGTGGAGGATTTGGGGGCATTATCTTTCTGAAGTCTCAGCAGACCACCAGCACAGTGTGAGACAGAACAGGTGCGCAGACGACCTCTGGCATCTGAATGCTGCATATTGAAAATGCAAGAAGTTGGTTATAAATCCCCTGAACAAACATCCTCCAGAAGCCAAATTGAAATGTTTAACAAGCACATGTGGATGTGGAGTTCAAGAGATCAGATTCCTACACCACATAAACCACTGTAGTTTGATAATTGCAACAAATGCTCAATGTGTTTGTGTGTTTTTTTGTCTCACAGGTTTCGTATGCACGGCCCAGTTCGGCTTCTATCCGTGACGCTAATCTGTACGTGAGTGGACTGCCCAAGACCATGGCCCAGAAGGAGCTGGAACAGCTCTTCTCTCAGTACGGACGGATAATCACCTCCCGCATTCTCGTCGACCAGGTCACAGGTATCAGTGGGACCGCTTTTCTCTCACCCTGTAGCATGCAAACAAACAAACAAATTCTCCCATTTAACATAAAATAAATAATGATTCACAATTTATTATAGATTTCACTTTATTGCAGCTTCTTAAAAAATGTATAGGACAGTTAAAGCCAAAACATAAGGAATTCTTCGACTCTTTGAATGATTTGTTGGCTCCATATTAAATGTAATGGAAGCCAGGCTAAAATGGCATTATCTAGTTTGGTTTTGCAAAAACCAGACTTGTGCGATTTTATCATTGACATGACATTTATAAAGATGAATTTTTGTTTTTTGTCTGACCGAAATTAAGTGTTTGTAAACACACTACAACTAATACAGGGTTTCTCCAGGTATTATGAAGGTAAATGTAAGACTTTTTAAGAACAAGGAAATTGAATGGTCCAATACATCAATATGATCTCTAGATGTAAATGTGTTGTATCCACAACACTTCACAAACTTCCAACAAATCTCCATCACTTTTTAATTAATATTACAAAAAAAAAAAAAACATTGCTCCCAACCACTACAATATGAAAATAACATTTCACTGTACATCTGTCATCTGATCATACTGCAAAAAAAGCGTTTTCCAGTGCAAATGACTACATATTCTTAAATGCGTAAAATATCTTGTTTAATGAGAAATGTATGAGTTTATGATTAATTCAAAAGGAAAACAAGTTCTTTTTTAAGCATAAACTCACTTTGTTTTGTTCAATTTCTCAGAAAACAAAACTTAATTTGTTCCATTTGCATCTAAAGTAAACGTATCTTGATTTAAGGATATTTAGATTTTTGTATTGGTAGATAAAACATACTGAGGAAGATATTTTTTATTTTATTTATTATTTTTGTAGTGCATGCAATATTTAATGGCGTGATTTAATGAATTTAAGACATCCGGCTCCAGCTTGAGACCTTTTTAGACCTTAATTTGTATGAATTAAGAACTCTGAAGACCTTTTTAAGACCCACAGAAACCCTGTAATAGAAACTACACACACAAACTCAATCTTATAGCCATCTTCTGTGAGTAAATGTATGCGCATGTTGTCTGTTTGTATTTGACCATAAACATGAATCCCAATCTTAATAATCATCAAACATTAGAACCAAGTCCATGACATGGAAAGACTGATGAGTCTATTTTAAGTCATCCAGTCATCTCCTTGGCCTATCCTTCCTCCAACATCATGAATAAATCAACCAGGATATAAATGGTCATGGAGCTGAATTTCTTACACATTCAATATTTTTACAACTGCATAATTCATAACAGCACTCACCATGCAAACAATATCGCATAAGCCACAGGAAAATGTACTCCACGTTCTAGTGGTGCCAAACCCTTTCTGAAGAACTGCTGAGGAACGCTGCATGGTCACATGCACACATACACACAGAGGCCTTCCTCCCTTGACGTGGATCCTTCCTCTGGCCCTGCAAAAGCTCCCCGGGAGAAAAGGGTTAGGCAGGAGACAGCCTAATGATTAATTAAACCTGAGTTGCTAGTGATTAAGAATCGAGGAGTGTTTTCTTTTTGAAGCTACTGATCGGAGGGCTGCCGTAAAGATACATGGAGCAAATATTACAACCCTACTTTGAAACCCTGAAAACCAAACAAGGATTCTGCACGTCTAAAATGAGAGTTGAAGTCAAGGAGGGATTAGACATGTTACTCAAGACCAGTTAATCGTTTAGTTAAATCTCACATGGGCCATCCATATGCTGACAGGATTTAATCATTGCAGAATCACTGCAAGCCATTTGTGGTACATACAACAACACTTGCCCCATATCTGAATACTGATGTCATTAACAAAACAGAACATTTTGAACAGGTGCATTTATGGCAAAAGAATGATTCACAGCATCTACTCTTGAACTAAGTCACTAATACTGAATTTCTGAATCAGTTGATGCCTCACTGAAACACATTAGTATGGAATACCATGCACAATTAGGATAAATTGTTTATTTTTTGCCAAAAATACTGCAAGAATCATTAAAGGAATTAAGAAAGTATAATCAGAATCTCAACCAAAATCAACTTCTGTCCCTACTCATTAATGTGTAAATCAGTGTGTCAGTTTGGTAGCCCTCACAAAGCTAGCATGATGTCAATCAAGATGGCAATGAGCCATCTGCTACATGCTTCTTAAGGCAAATCTAATTCTGTGATCTAAATCTAAATCATATTCCTCTATACGCCACTTTCAAGAAAAACACAGCATCCTGAAATACGACCGAAAGTCATTAATAAAGACAAACACATATGGCATGATAAACTAACAGTGGCTTTGCCTTTCTGAAATAATAATACATCATACATCCTTGTCATAAGTTTCTTGGTAACAATTAGGGAAGCATTTTCTCTGTTCGCCCTCACAAAAAGGATACTGTTTTGCGATGGAAGTCCTCTTCCTACGTGTCTCGTTTATATAACTCGTTCCCTAAGGTGTGTCTGTTTGTTTTGAGTTTATTGGGAAATGTGACTAAATTGCAGGGATTTGAAAAGCTTTTGAGCATTTGACTGAATCCACGGCATGAGTACTTAAACCTACCATGTAACCTAAGTGAAGTATGATAGGTTTGGCCCTTTGATCAATAGTCAAATATTCAGAGAGGCTCCACCGAGCCTTGCCTGGCAGTCAATACATGTCCCGTCAATGAGAGCAAATACAATTGATCCATAACGCCGGCTCCTACAAGCTGCGCCTCTTAAGTGAAAAACGACTGCGCTCCCATGAGCTACTTGTAGAAATCCTTCTTTTAAAATGCTACGCTTTCTCCTCTTCCACTGCCTTTTCTTTTCCCGCTCACTGATATTTTCCCATGACTTGAATTCCATTAACTATACAGTGTGAGCACGCTGTCGGGAACGGTTAGAAACATGATGTCAAAATGCATTTGAGCCAACGTTGCACGACGAGTGTCCAAATCAAGGTCTGTCGAACACAAAGGATCTGTGCTGTATACAGTGAATCGAGATGCTCCACCAGACAGCGCAAAGCATGCCATGACACCGCTGCCTTGGCCTCCAATTACACAAGGACAAACAGATGGATTTATAGGCAAAGAGAACCAGGCAAAGAGCTGCTCAAGTCTTCAAATACCTCCCTTACTGAGCCTTTTCAAAAACCATCTGTAGCGGCAGCAACTAAAAGTTACATAAAACGAGGACGTCGCTCTCCTTTCTCTGATTAGGCAGAAGCTACGGAGAAGAGGTGTAGGCTTTTTTCCTCATAATATATTTAGCGCACTATTTTAATAAATGTTCCATACAGTTGGCACAGCCACTTAAAAGTGAGAGAATGAGAGACAATGGAGAGGAGCTTATGTTCAGACAGAGGAGAGAAGGCTGTCATTAACAGCCAAGCTTTTCTGAGCTTTCCCTTTTTTCCCCAGAGGACTTCTCTCTCTTTCTCTCCCGTAAAGAGTAAGTGTCGAGGACCAGAACAGTGGGCGTGCAATGGAAAGCGCTTTGTCAGGCCGGCTACGGCGGTCTCTTGCCACTGTTTCTTGTGCACTCACTCTGTGTGTCACGGTTATTATTAAACTCAGCATTCTCCGGCTTCATGTGTGCTGAGCCGAGATAAGTACAGGTAGAAAGTTACGTAAGGTAGGAGTGATTACCGGGAGAATAGTGCTGTTAACTGGCACATTGTAGCTGTAACTCTGTTCGGTTCATGATAAGCACTAAAAAGGAGCTAGCGATGCCAGTGTCTCCGTTTTAGCCCGGCCACTCGCTTTGTTTAGGCAGCCTGTTATAGAAACGGCTGCAGGCTCATTATGGTAATGTCAGGGAAGCGAAGGGAAAAGAAAAAAGGAAAGCACAGTCAACATTGAGGCGCCATTTGCATTTTTTAACTGTTAAACTGCAAGCATTTTCTGGACCCTAATTTTAGCGATTCTGCAGGCGTCTGATAGATCGTCAGCTGTTTGCTGAGTCGCAGCCTGAATGACACTGGTCAGCATTATTTCTACCCAAGGAAACTGAGATCCCATCACGATTTCATTATAGTTGTGTTAGTGCACAGCACTGAAAACCTCTGGATTGAATCATACTACAGACTACCTGCCCTACGGCTCTACATTGTTTTTTTAAAGGTATGATACAGACTTCCAGAGAACAAAAGGAAACAATAGACATAAGTTTAAAACATTAGTTTGCTATTTAACAGTCATCAGACCCATCATTCATAATGATATGCAGGGATGTGCAAAATTCTGAAATGAAAAATTGGCCCCTTTTCAATTTACAAGTTTGAATTTAAAATTTGAATTGGAATGACAGGAAGAAGTGCATGAATTAAAATAACACAGTTTGGAGTGGAAAAAAACATTCTTCCACTCTTGCCCACAAAAGATAATTTATTAAATATTATGAAACATGTAAGAAATTCTATAGATATCTGTCAGTAAGGCCTGAACCTGCAGTAATAATGGCTTTCAAACAAGGCTTTGTCCATTCAACATTCACATTTTTTTCTAGTTAAAAATTAGTTATATGAATGTCAGTTTATTTTAATTGTACTTCCTTACATGCAAATTCTTAACCCTGTTTGCTTCCTTAATTAAAATTCAGTTCAATTTACGGAACTGAAACAGAATGTAAAGGCTTTCTTAATTCAGTTATGAATGATACAGTACACGACCCTGATGTAAAGGCTTGTTATGGCAAACGTAGGCTATGTTCGGAATGGAATTCCAGCTTTCTACTTATGGCTGGAATACACTAGAATAATCTTAACAGATTTTAAAACACTGGCCATCATACACTTACTGACTTTGTAATAGTCACAGAGGAAAAACTGGCCATCATACACTAAACAACTGAGGATCACACACTACCAGACTTTAAAGTTGTTCTGATCACAACAAACACACACAGAAACGTGTGCCTTGTTGCTACGCTTGACAAATCAAAACAAAATGTGTTCTAAAATCGGCTCAAAATATCAAACATGTTCGATATCCTCCGACAGGACGGATTCATAGTCTGAAGCTAAAAAATCGGAGTCTGTGACTATGCAATTTTCGATGAAATCTGTCAACTGGCTCTGACTTTCGGCAACTGCCGTTGACTTCTCCAAACTGTAAATTTGGCAGAAGATCTGGACAAAAATTGAGTAGCGTATTCCAGCCTTACTAAATACTGAGCATTCTATACTGAATGCAGTTTACTTTAAACAGCTTCTGGTACTCCTGCATACTGTCAATATATAATACTGTGCAGAATATAATACAAAAAAGTAAAGAAGAAGTATAATTTTCCAAATTCAGTGCCGTAAAAAGGTTTTTGCCCCCTTCCTGGTTTTTTTTTTTTTGTTGCATATTTGTCACACTTAAAAGATTCAGATCATCAAACAAATGTAAATATTACACAAAGATAATGCAAGTAAATACAAAATGCAGTTTTTAAATGATTTCATTTATTAAGGGAAAAAAGCTGTCCAAACCTGCCTAGCCCTGTGATTAACCACATTATTTTAGAAAGCGGAGTTAAATTTCACTAGCCACACCCAGGCCTGATTACTGCCAGACCTGCTGAATCAAGAAATCACTTAAATAGAACCTGTCTGACAAAGTGAAGCATGCTTAAAGAGCAACACATGATGCCGCGATCTAAAGAAATTCGAGAACAGAAACACAATAGTTGACATGTATCAGTCTGGAAAGGGTTATAAAGCCATTTCTAAGGCTTGGGACTCCAGCGAACCACGGTCAGAGCCATTATCCACAAATGAAGAACACTTGAAACAATGGTGAACCTTCCCAGGAGTGGCCGGCCTATCAAATTTACTCCAAGAGCGCAACGACGACTCATCCAGGAGGTCATAAAAGAAGATCTGAATCATTCAAGTGTGACAAATGTGCAGAAAATAAAAAAACCGAAAGGGGGCGAAACTTTTTCACACCACTGTATAGCCATATCATAGGTTCGGAAGGACTTGACCTTTAACCTCTGAGTCTGTGTTTTGCAATGACAGCATTCACAGGCAGCATGGTATATGAAGATTCCATCAAAGGAAACTGGTTTCAGATAGGCTTCCAAGTCACATCTAATGAGCTAAAAAGAACTTTAAAGCAAATATTTAGTCACCACAATGCTTATTTCTAGAAAGAAAAGGAGACATACGTTTAAAAAAAAAAATACATTTATAAAAATGTATTTCTATTTATTCCACCAACCGTTAAATCGCACTTTGTGGGATACATCTCTGCTGCCTTCAAAAGCAATTAAGGCATTATAGTAGACGGGATGTTACCAGACATTATATTTAGACATGTCTTGATGCCTTCCTCTCCCCGCTTTCGGAATCAGCCGGTGTTTGTGTTCAACCTAAACAAGCAAAGGCACAGATAGCATATAGTTTATGTCAGATCCATCAGTTCATTCCTGCACACTTAAACTGACAGAAAGAAACAAAGTCGTCTAGTTTCGGATCAAAATTTTATGAAACGGAATGTGTAATCTCTTGTATTTTTACGACATGATTCCATTCTATGTATTAACATCTTGTGAAGTGAAAAGCTGTGTGTTTATAATAAATTCATCAAGGCGTTTTAATTTTAAACTATTGCTTCTGGCCAAAATCCATAATAACGCTTCCTCCAGTGAAAAAGTCCATGCCCTGTTGTCCTCTCACATCAAAATCCACCTAGACGTGTGTGTTGGACAATCCAACTGTTTTGAATCGTTTTCAGATGAGGCAACTTTTTTCACTAATAACAGGAAGCAATGGTTTGAAGTATTAATGATGGATTTGTTTCTTGCAAACAGCTTTTTACTTTACAAGATGGACTGGAGTCATGTGGAGTACTGTGATGTTTTTATCAGCTATTTGGACTCTTATTCCGACGGCACCCATTCACAGCAGAGTATCCATTGGTGAGCAAGTGATGTAATGCTACATTTCTTAAATAATCCCTAAAAACACAAGTTTCCACAAAAAGCTCTAATATTTAATAATACAGTTTTACAGTAGTTTTGCTGAAATAATTACAGGCTGACATCTTTCAAAAACAAAACAAAAAAATTGTACCAACCCCAAACTTTTGAATGGCAGTGCAAATCAGTAAAGTAATACATAATGAATTTGAAATGTTAAAATATCAATTTCTCACAAAAATGCAAACCATGGAGCTTAGAATGTGCAAACCGTTCAAGCATGTATTCTTTATATTGTGTGACTAGGTTTTTAATTTGTGATGTTTTTTTATCTTCTATTGGTCAAACACCTTTTTACTATACAAATTCTCAGGTCAGAGTTCACCTAAAAGTGAAATACTGAACTTTTACACATCTGTGTGTTCACAATCGTATGAATGGAAGCATAATGGACTCTAGTATGCAGCTCATAACCATTCAAAATATTTCATTATTCAGTTGTATCATAAATATAAAATACTTTGGATGAGTTACAGTCTATCTCCTCTAGATACATGAACTGTCGGTGCGATGTTTACTTTAAAGCTAAAGATCCTTTGTTTATTCAAACAGGACTCGTCAAGCAATTAGCACAGCAATACTGATGACAGAAATCAGTAATTAATTCCTCATACATCACAAGCACTTATTATTGAAGAGATCTGAAAAGGATGAGTCCCATTTGCATGTATTAGCTGGCCTTACAAAGGGCTCATTGTGTGTGTGTGTGTGTGTGTTTGGAGAGGAAGTGTGAAAAGCTGTAGGCCGGGTTGAGACACACCTGCATATATCTAACATATCGCCTGCTCTTGCACCTCAGAGCCCTCTCTCCAATTAACTCATTTACCCAAAAGCAACCTGCCTCCCTAATTGGCTAATTGGCATCTTAATGACTCGACACGCTGAATGTCCTCGCTTTATTTTGGCTCCGTTTTTCCTCTAAGTTCACAGAAGGCAGAGTCACCAACTGTTGACCCACTGCGGAGAGGGAGGGCCAGCATGTGTACGTGTGTGTTTTGTCTGGAGAAGTTCAGTTTGAAATGTGAGAAAGCGGTAATTAGCCCTGTCGGCCATCTTGCAGCAGTTTTAATAGGAAATGTGTGTTTGGAGAGGAAGTGTGAAAAGCTGTAGGCCGGGTTGAGACACACCTGCATATATCTAACATATCGCCTGCTCTTGCACCTCAGAGCCCTCTCTCCAATTAACTCATTTACCCACAAAGCAACCTGCCTCCCTAATTGGCTAATTGGCATCTTAATGACTCGACACGCTGAATGTCCTCGCTTTATTTTGGCTCCGTTTTTCCTCTAAGTTCACAGAAGGCAGAGTCACCAACTGTTGACCCACTGCGGAGAGGGAGGGCCAGCATGTGTACGTGTGTGTTTTGTCTGGAGAAGTTCAGTTTGAAATGTGAGAAAGCGGTAATTAGCCCTGTCGGCCATCTTGCAGCAGTTTTAATAGGAAATGAGACGAGGCCGAGCCGAGTGAGGGACGGAGGTCGCAAAGTAGCCAAACAGACAGGAGCCTAAAATGAGAATGACTGACGGGGAAAGAAAGCGTAATACACCGGCCCGCTGGGTCACTGGGGCTAATAGAGAGACCGCACAAGAAAGAGACAGCAAGAAGAAGAAAGGGCACTCCCAGTTAATGCTACATTACATCCTGCTTCCAACTTCATTGAAATGTCATTTTATATTAAAGTTTTCAGGTATGCTGAAAGATGGCCCCAGACCAATTTCATCCATAACACTAGCATATTATCTGCACATGTTCAGACACTAAGATTCATTCTTTATAATTCACTCTTAGTATCTGTTTGTATGATTCATTTATTTCTCTTTTTGAGTTTTGTTTTTGATTTGCTCATATCCTTCTTAATCATTCTTTAATTGTCACTATAGAAATACATAACAGTATTGCAATATAAATATACACATTCTTTTATTGGGCGAATTCTCAATTTTATCCGAATTCTCCATTTTACTGTATTAAATATGTAACCACAAAAAAATAAAATAAAACGTCTTGATAGAAATATGTATATATTACCTGAATAATTTTAAGCTCCTGTTTTTGAGGCGTGGCTTAGGGTTAATATAAATAAAATGTATTTATATATATTCATCATATAAAAAATTATAGCATACACAAATATAAATTAATACCAGTGTATTATAAATCATCCTTAATTTAATTATAACTCCCCACAAAAATACATACAGTGT